AGTTTGATAAAAAGAATTAGCTACTGAGTTAAGAGTAGTTAATTAGTATTTTTCTTTAATAAATACATATATTTTATTATATATCTTATCTTTATTTTTTTCTTACTCTATTAAGAGAATATTTTAATTAGAAATAAACTTGTGTAAATTATCTTATTGAGAAGATAATTACATTTTAGTTAGAAAGATGCTATTTATCACATAATATTATCTAATTAATAGATTCACTCATTTATGTATAGTATGATAATATAAAATAATATAGTATAATAATTAATATAATATAAATTTGAATGAATTAATGTAATATGAATCTGTATTAATTGATATTAATATATCATAATATGAAATTGAACTATATTAAGAATTGATTGTACTGTATAATGATATGTTTAATTTTATTAAAAAATTTAAATTTAGTAAATAAAATAATAATTAAAAAATAATTTCAATATAAAAAAATATAAAAAAATTAAAAAAATAAAAAATAAAAATATATATTAATAAATAAAATAATAAAATTATGAAATTATAAATTATATAATTTGATATAATCTTATAAAATTATAAGATTAATAATTTTTTTATTATTATTATAATAATATAATAAAATTTTTATATTTTCTCTTTTTTAATATATATATAATATAATCTGATATAAAATAATTTATATATTAATAAGAGTTATAAAAATTTTTATAATATAAAAATCATATATAATATATCAAATAATTTTATTTTTATATAAATTAAAAATTATAAATAAATATATTTTTTTTTAATAATAATTGTTCAAATATTTTAAACAATATTATTTTAATATTTATATAAGCTAAATTATGAATATTCTTTATTTTTTGAAAAAGTTATATAAAATTAATTAATTTATATTAAATTTTAATAATAAATACTAATAATACTGATTGAACTTACTAGATTCATCCATTTTTTATAGAAATTATTTTTATATTAACTTGAAAAAATATAATTAAATTATATTCAAAGATAGATTTTATTATTATTGAGAGTAGAGCATATACATATTATATAATAAAATTCATTGTGATGTTTTTTACACACCAATCCAGATCAACTAAATTCGGATTACTTTTATTCGGATTAATTTGATCCACCACGTCTGATTTTAAAATTTTTACATGTATTTCTCATTAAATATACGATATTTTCAATGACCATTTCAACAGACGCTTTTCCTATAGTTCCCATGCAAGAGTGCGACCATTCTATATATGATAATTTGGATGTTCTAGTAACAAACTTAAGTGGTAAAGTACCACTTCACACACGCTTTCGAGCGATATTCACATTAAAGAACATTGGTGATGAGAGAAGTATCGATTTACTAGCAAAAGGTAAAGAAAGGCAATTTCCGTTTATTTAAATATTATACTAAAATAATTAAAACATATTCATTAAAAGCATTCAATGACGAATCTGACCTTCTCAAACATGAGCTCGCCTATGTACTCGGGCAGATGAAAAATTCGTATGCTAATCCGATACTTCGGAGAGTTTTGTCAGATAAATCGCAAGACGCTATGGTCCGACATGAGGTTTGTAGACAGATTTTTCTTAATTTGTGCCTCCTGTCTAATAATATTAACTGTTTGAATAAAAAAGGCTGCAGAGGCTCTCGGAGCAATCGGAGATCTTGAATCGTTAGATATTCTCGAGAAATATCTTGATGATGAGCACCAAGTAGTTCGACAAACTTGTGAACTGGCCATCGCAAAAATAAAATATGAACATGACCCACAGGAATCAAAAAATTCACAAAACAGGTTTGATAGGATATTATAATTTTCGTCTAAAATTTTTTCAAATCTATGCCTTGCAAAATAATTTATTGTTATGCGTGAAAAAAAGTAAATTCACGTCTATTGATCCCGCACCTTCAATATCCGAAATCCAATCAGTTCCAACACTGAAACAAATACTAATCGACGAGACCCTACCAATTTTTGATCGTTATCGGGCAATGTTTGCATTACGTAACATAGGCACTACCGAGGCAGTATTGGCACTAAGCGAGGGACTGAACGACTCGTCTGATTTATTTAGACACGAGATCGCGTTCGTGTTTGGTCAATTACAAAGTCCTGATAGTGTGCCTTCGCTTATAAAAACCTTGGAAAATATCGATGAGCGGCCTATGGTAAGGCATGAAGCTGCAGAAGCTTTAGGCTCCATTGCGACGCCTGATTGCTTGCCTGTGCTCAAAAAATTTCGACATGATTCAAGTCGAGTTGTGAAGGAAAGTTGTGAAGTCGCATTAGATATGTATGATTATGAGACTTCCACGGAGTTTCATTATGCTGATATAAGTAGCCTTGATACAGAAAATTAAGCTATTTATCGCTATTTAATATTAATACAATAATTTTAATTTACTGGTAAAACGCGAAAGATAAAATTGATCTTGCAATAACAAAGTAATCATCATTAATTAAAACAATAATTTTTGACTCGCTGGCAAAAATGTTCTCTATATTGTTGTATCCAAAGATAAAATTGATTTGCAATAACAAGAAATCATCCAAAAAATAAATTTACACACTACACATTTTTATTGAAGGTTAATGTCATTATTATTAATATTGTTATCAGTATTGGCTTTAAAATATAATCACCAAAACTTGCCTCTTTATGTATAATACAAATTTAGAAAAAATTAATATTAATTAGTTAAAATGTGTGCTTTGAAAAATAATGATGTTATTATATTTTGAGTTGGGAAGCGTCGAGCCCCAATGCGTGGAGGAATAAATTCACATTAGTGATTTTATGTGTAGCTTTGTCTTGTGGTATTCGTGATGCTTGCACTACAGTCTCAAGAACCCGCTCTCTATATATATTCAAGAAAAATATTTAATCTTTTTGTAATATTTCTTATGAATATGCAAATTTTGAGCGAATATTCTACCTGACTTCAGTTACTAAGATATGTTGTTGTTCCATTGAAGCTCCAACTGCCATAGCTGCCAAGAATTGCCATACATACATGTCGTCGATGTTTGACATAAAGGGCGGGAATGACAACAAGAAATAGGTTTGAAGTTGATTAAACAATCGATTGTAGGTTTCTTGCCTAATCAAGCCATCCAATATTAATTAAACTCGATATAATAACGTATATGCATCATAACAAAAGTTACCATTGCATTATTTCTCGTTCTTCTGGTAATGGTAGTCCTTGCATATAACCTCCGCCTTGTTTTAATATTTCCGCTCGACTCAAAAACATAGTCAGGAAAGCAAGACCAACCTAACAAAGTATACCGATAATGAGATTCGTGGACTTTGGAAATATATTATCCCTCAATATAAACAATACCTTACTCTTAGCCACCCATATAATATTATTTCTCTCTATAAATAATGTCAAAAGACCATTAACAATTTTCAATGGTGCCTCAGCTACAAATTGTAACAATGGTGGAACAACAGTGTTCATAAATAATTCAACTTCGTCCAAGATTGATTGTTTGATGTTTCCATTTGATCCCCCGATTGCAGTTTTGCATACATCTAATGCTTCAAAGTTAGCTACAAGCATCGTAATCAGTGTAGTAAATTGATCTTTATTGCAGTGTCGCAGAACTCGAGGAATAACTTTTTTTCCCTTCGAGACAGAAAGTATGCTAATGAAGGGATGTGGAAAACTATTCCCAAAAATATTCGTTATTAATAAAATAATTAGTTATCGAGTCGATCATCAACAGTATTTATAATGAATGAAATTGTTAAATTGAAATTACCTGACACCAATCGGCTCTGTTACAAGTAATTCCTCCCACATTTTGTTAACTAATTCTGTATATTTTTCTTGCCTGTCAAAAATAAATTATTAGAATTGAATATTGAGTTTAATACGAGTTTAAATAACACATTGAGATATTTAATTTCAACCATTTATCCTTTGCCTCTCTTTCTTGATTACGTTTCAATTCTTCTAGTCTCAAAACTGCCCAATAAATATTTTCAATAGAACGCAAAACTTTCCGATGATCTACAACACCATGCGATGAAATTGAAGGTACTTTTTGATGGCTGCCGCCGCTTGGACTTGCATGATTTTGATGAGTATCAGTGTGCTTTGTCGAAACTTGCAATAATTGTCTAGGATTACGAACTGAATTAAGCGCAATCTTTCCTAATGCTCCTTCTAATGACACTAAAAGACAAACAGTCAATATATAGAAGAAAATAACTGGAATTATTCAGCATTGTATTAATTAATGCAATATTTACATTGAGTAGATTTTGGTTTTCTTCTCACATCATTTACTATTCTCAAAACTTGCTGTTGCACTTTTAACATTCCACTTTCTGACCCTCTATTTCGGTGTCTTCTTTCGTGTCCCATGGCACCACCACCGCTAGCATGAGGGGAAAATGTGCCCATTTGAGGCTGTGCTGGACGGTTCCGTATAGCTGTATATATTTGATAATAAAAGTCATCTGAATATGGGTCATCAGTCACAAGTTGGGATATTTGGATACGATTGATATAATCTTTGTCATTTTGTGTCATAAGTCCATTATATTTGGCCTAGATATTTTAAAGATCTCAATATTTTACATATATCCTAATTATCAAAAACGATGAAGAATTATACTTACCATATCTGCGAGTTTTCTTTGTTTCTCTCGACGTTTTCTTTCCCTCTCATAATACATAACCTCCTGTTCACGTATCGCAGCCTCTTGTTCTAAGAAAGCGGCCTCTTGTTCGCGATATGCACCTTCTGTTTGACCATATATTGGCAAGGGTGGAGGACGACCATTCAAACCCAAAAGTGCAGCTTCCACTTCTGCCAAGCTGAGCATTCTCTTCTCTGGTAAAGGAGAGTTATGCATCGGTGGTGGTAGTTGTGGTTGTGGTGGAGGACCAACTTGTCTTTGTAATTGATGATTTTCTACCGTTAACGATTGGCCAGCTTGCCTCTGTAATTGTTTCTCTATTTCTTCGAGGGTAGGCACACGCGCAGTGGGAGGTGGACCAGGTGGACCAAATCCAGGTGGTAATGGAGATATTTGGGATGGGGGATAGGTCGGTGGATTTTCATAGGATGGGTGGTGTAGGTTTGTCTCATGATGGTGACGAGGAAGAGATTCTACAACGGTGGCAGTAATACGGAGACAAAAAATTCAATTCCTTCCAAAAATATTTAATAGAGTAAAAAAACCAAACTCATGGAGAGAACTGGATAAATTCTTGTCGGTTGTTGGAAGCCAAACCTTTGCGAGTGGAAGGCGGATGGTATGATCCCCATATAGAAGGACTTATTGGAGACTTGATAAAATATCTAATTAGTTTTTAAGGTCATACAGAATAATAAATATTTTAATTTAATATGCGTGTAGAAAATAAATACCTCTGGCATCAAAGGTGAAGTTTTCGGGTCATTTGTAGGGTCATTTGGATAACTACCATTGCCATTTACTGATATCCCACCAGACTGATCGTCCCATAAATTAGAAAATAGGGGTCTTTGTCGTAAAAGTTCTATTAAACCAAGAATGGAAAAAAATATCAATTAATTGATTTCACTATACAAATCAAAGAATATAGAAAACATACCATTATTATCTGATGGTGCACTTTTCCTTCGATCAACGTAAAGTTTTTCTTCTTTTTGTATTGTATCTGCTATCTTAGCATTACTTTGAGTAAAATCGAAATCATCGCCTATATTAGCTATAATTGAAATATATATAAATTCCAAAGGCGCATTATTAGAAGTGATAGCCGATAATATCCGTGGTTGAAACTTACTAATGTCATTTCCAAAAGTTTCTTCATTATAGTCATCACCAGTTTCAACTAATTGATCCGCCAAAGGATCAAATCCTTGGTCACAACCGAAATCTTGTCCAGACTCGAGAGCAAACTCCTCAAAATTTTTAGACAACTCGTCTTCAGTTATCTCCGCAGTTCCAGCAGTCAGCTGGTCAGAATTTAAAGGAGGCATTGTGGTATCGAAGCCGAAATAAGAGTCCGACATTCTTTTGCCTTTATTGTTAGCTTCCCACCTCTTTGGGAAGCGAGATGTGAGTGATTACTTTGTATATTTATATAAAAATATTAGAAAAAAGGGAACAAGCAGCAACAACCAGTGGTTATCCTGCATTCTACAAGATTTGATGATGTAAGATTTTCACGTCACTAATTCTGGTATATAATAACAATATTTTTTTTAGTTCCAGAGATAACAGGAAAAGATATTTACGCGTTTATACTAATTTTTTTTAGTTTAAAATTTTGATTTATTCCTTGCACTAGTATACATTTATCTACACTCATAAACCATACGCTCTTAGGTTCAGTTTAAGAGCAGCTGCTTTATATACTAATTATCCAATTTCATGGTAATAAGTTTTTTGACTAGAAATCAAAACTTGTATGTAGTTCTAGATCGCTGATTTTCAATGGGATATGACAAACAAATTTTACTTGAAAGTGAGTTGACATGTCTACAGATTTGGCTTTTTTCGTGATACAATCTTTTTTTCTTGTTGGAGGTAATTAACTTTCCTACTAATTTTTAAGATTACTCAAACATTGATACCATGATTTAGTTGTCTGACGCGTTTGATTTCACCTGGAGTGGTGTTAATTTCCATCGAACGAATAGAAAGTTTAACGATTAAGCATCACGTATTATACCCACATCATAGGATTCTCTCTTAAAAACGTGTTTTTTCTCCCAAAGAATGTCCTTTCCGCATGATGGCTTTGTCATCCACAAAGACTACCTAATTTTTGGTCTTCCACACCGTTATTTCTGACTTACTTTCTTTTTGTTACTATGGATCTAACTTTTAGGGTAACCAAAAAGGATTATCAAAATTTTAGAGTAGGACTAAGGGAACAGTGGATGAAGGCGTATAAAAAGGCGGAGTTTGAATATAACAGGCAACAGTATGTTTTCTAAAATTGTGTATTTTTTCTCTTAAAACGGAATATAACTTTGCATGTTTATTAAAGCGTGATAGCATATATATGGCATTTTATCATTTTTTCTATTGCCTCTAATATATTTTCTCTTGTCACTTATAGACATATTTTGAATTACAGTTGTTTCATCTCAAGAATATTAATTTATTTGAGAAGTAACAGAGTTTGCTAGTTATTGTCCAGTGCAAAAATGTAATATATAAAAAATAAAATCAATTATTTTTAATAAAAATTATGAAAAATATAATTAATATTTATTATTTTTTTATATTAAATAAAATATATTTTAATATAATTTTCTTGATCTTAACAATAAAATATTTTTAAGTTTTATTATATTTATATATTCTGATTATAAGTTTTACTTGAATATCATATTGGAATAAAGTATTTCAAGAAATTTCTTAATATAATTTTATAAAATTTTTATTTAATTAAGTATTTAAAAATATAAAAAGTATTATAATAAATTAGTTAAACATATTAAATTATTAAATAATAGTTATTTACTTTTTTTATAATTAAGAAAACTTTGAATTTTTATTTTATTATTTTAAAAATTAGAAATTTATTTAATAATATTTTTTTTAAATATTTATAATAATAAAATATAATAACCTTTTTTAAATTAAGTATTTGAAAAGAAAAAATTTTTAAATTAAAAAACTTAGTTTAATTATTATAAATTTATTATATAGCACTTATATATAATAATAATAATTTAAATTAATATTTTTATAATTATTATATTTAAAAAAAATAATTATAAAAAAATTTAATTTTTAATTATAATTAATTAATAATTTAAAAATTCAAAAAAAATAATTATAAAAAGATATAGTTAAATCTTTTTATAATTATATTTTTTTATAATTATATTTTTTTATAATCATCTTTTTTAAGTTTTTCAATTACTAATTAATTATAATTAAAAAAATTTTTTTATAGTTATATTTTTCTTTAGTTATTTAATTTTATTTTTTTAAGTATAATATTATAAAAAGATCTAATTATATATAATTATAAAAGTTTTGATTATATTTAAATCTAAATAATTATTTAATATTTTTAATAAATAAATTTATTATTTTATAAACTGATATTAATTTTTTAAATATATAAAAAAATTTAATAAATAATATATATTTAAGTTATTATTATATAATATTTTTATAATATTTTAATTTTATAAAAATTTTTAATTATATTAATATATTTTTTAAATATTAATAATAAAATTATTTAATATATAATATAAATAATAAATTAATTATTATAGTAGTGACCAAAAGTAATAATTCAGGGACTAAATTTACTAATAAAATATAGTAAAAATTGAAATTTTCTCTCTATATTAAAATTTATAATTTTAATAAGAAAT